CTAACGAGATGTCTGATTGTCTCGGATTTACGACGACGGGCCGCGTCGCGAAGCCCAAACGCAGTAGTGCTGGCACGACGGCCACTACTCCGACAGGCACGCGGAAGAAGAAGGTAGTGACGGGCGCAAATGTCAAGACGGTGAAGAAGCCGCGGACAAAGACGGAAAAGGTTGCGGATGCGGTCGTGGGTGGGTTGGAGAAGGTGGTTGGAGAGGTGACGGGACGGCCGGGGAAGAAGGTATGAGATGATTTGATTACTCCAGGTTTTTTGGACTTGTTTGTTTCTTCCTTCATTGCTGATGTTTTGCAATTATAGGCTGCCGGGACTGCAAAGGCACGAGGCACAGATCACACGACGAAGCGCGCTGCTCCCAGGACAGGCAAGGTTCAGGGCTGATGGTCTTCGTACGTGCTTTGCCTCAATGTCCCGTGTATATCACAGAGGCATGGTCCTTGCTTCTCGCACGGCTTCGCCGTTCCTTCTTGTGGGGTTTGCGCGCGTTGGGTAGAAGAAACACGAGGCCTCGCTGGTGTTCGTGAGATGGGTGGATTGGTAGGTGGGCTGTGTACCCTGGTATCTCCGATACAATGACTGCACTTTGTTGGATCCATAGCCGCGCCCTTTTGCTCTTTACCATACTATCCCCCCGCTTTTGTTGTCTGTTTGCTTGATCTTCTCTCGGCGTGCTAGGGTAGGGTGGGATGGAGATACCCAAAGTTCACAGTGTGCTGTGTCGAGGTGCTCCTCGGGCCGTGTCGATTCGGTCGGTCATCAGTATTTTTGATAGAAGATCATGTCGTGGTCCCGCGATTGTGTGTTTCTGTCCATTGAATGATGTACATGAATATCCTACACGACGAGCGAGTAATCCAACATCTCCCTCGTCAGGCGCACAGGACGTCCGGCAACCCGATTTGCGCTGTCCCATTTCCACAATCCAATAGCCCATCATTCATTCATGATGGCGAGGTGTGCGTAGCAGCAGCAGCACCTCCACTAGTATTTTGCTCATCTGACGATCTAGCAGGTGCTTGGTCCTCCACCCCCTGCTTATTCAAATTAACCTTTCGAAACTGCGAAACAGATCTTGGCTTCCCCGTCGAGCGTTCATGACTCGATTCCATCCCCAGATAGTATGACAGCTTCGGTACCTTGAGCGCGCCCTCTTGCACAGGTTGCAGGCGCTCTTCCGCCGGTGGATGTGTGTACTTGACCAGCCTCCCACTTCTTATGCGCCACTTGTTCCGGCTCGGATCGTACGCCATGGGCGCATCAATGCTATTCTTGGGTGAATCGCTCACGGTGTAGCGGAATCGGGGTACGTCGACAGGTTGCGACGCACGGAGCGTTGCTATGCGCGTACGTAGCCCGATGATCGTGGTGTACTGTACCTCTGGGCCCTGGCGTAGGCGTAGAATTTCCGGGTATCCTGTGAGCGGCTTGCCTGCTTTGATGGCTGCATTGATGGTAGATTGAAGGTCGAGATCGTAGGCTTCGGCGTCGGACATCATGTTCAAGATGGTGACCCAGTTCTGGAACCGTAACTCGTCGAGTGGAATGCCTGTGGGACTTTTTGGTACACTGGTTCCAGATGCTTCATCTAAAGTTGCGGGCGGTGGCTGATGTGGATCAGTGGAGTATTGATCGTACACGGTCCGCATGTTCTCGGTTGAGGCCAGGGAAACGTGCTCTGGATTGAGGTGCATATAGAAAGGAGTCTTCAGAAGATCCAGTGGCTGTCCAGACATGAGAACGGCTTCGATGTTTACCATTTGACTTTTGAGCGCATCGAGCTCGGATGAAAATTGCTCTACAGTCATGTAGTCAAATGAAACTGTATCAGTGACAGTGTTTTCTTGATCGATTTGCTGCTTGATGTGATTCTCAACGCCTTGCTCAATCGCATGTGGCAACCGAGCGAGTTGTGCCCAAAAGTACTCTTTGTGGTTGGCACGTCGACATGCTTTGGTCAAAGTGATCCAGTCTCCAAAACCAATTCCCGAGCTGTCAGTTTCTGCCTTTGTCACAATGCGTTCCCAGAGTTCCTCAATCACTTCGGTGTTGCCAAGCAAGCCGGCTGCGCTGATGGCATCGCGTGTGGCAACAGGACCTAGCTCCATATTGGCTGCTTTGAGATCTTGTAGAGTACTTGTCAAAAGGCTTGGGACGCGCAATTTCCCAGAGAGCGTGATCAGAGCATCGAAAGGATGAATCTGAGGAGTCATACCCGCGGACATGAGACCTGACATGATGTCGTGCACAGCAGCAACAATGGAGTCGCGTAATGGGGCCTCTTTGTCAGTCAGGCCTCGCTCTATGGTATCAGGCAACAGCTGCGTCATGGCCTGAATGAGTATTCCGACATGGATGCTCTGAAGCTGGCCACCAGCCTCTATGGAGGCATACAAGGCGTTGGCGGTGGCGCGAACAAGCATCATGCGATCAGCCATAGATCGCGAGGCCTCGATTGCAGCTCGCATCTTGGCGAGCAGTGCTGTGACATGGGTTGGTGAAATGACGATGCCAGCACGGCAGGCTAGCATGTATGCTGAATACGCTTCCGAAAGGGGTCTTTCTGCCATGAATAGCTCAAAGTAGCGCGGAGGCACCTGCGAAGGATATAGGCGAAGGGCTGTATCCAGAGCCAGATAGGCATTCCTCCAATCGCGTGCTAGGATACGTGCAGTAAGGATACCCTGTAGCAAGATCATGGGAATGCCAGCAATGGTCGTGGGCTGGGTGCGATCTGGCACGATAGCATCAGGAGCGAGATGATACTGGGCAAAAGTACCAGGAAAGCGCTTGAGGCCATCGAGATACAGGCTTTCAAGTTCGGGCAACAGCATCAAACGACCGTAAGCTAAGAGCTCGATCGCAGCGCCGTATGCACCGGCCGACACATGGCGTTCATCCTGATCGACGAGCCATTGCCAAAGCTCGTGGCCCTCTTCGAAGCGTTTGCAGTCTTTGAAAATACCGAAGAAATGGACGTAGGCGGAGTGGTGGGGTTTGAGGGCGCCGGAACGTAGGTCGGCGACGACTTTTTGGGCGAACGTGAAGAGCTCGGCTCGTATCTTATTGTCAGTTGCCATCCGTGTGCGCACATGTAGTGTCTGCGCGATGCGTCGAGTATCGTATGCGTTCAGCACGCCCGCTTCGAGCAGCATCGGGTACAGGTCCATGACCTGCTGGACATTGCGTACTTCGCAGGCTTCCCGCAACTGCGCCAGCAAATGGTCAAAGGATTGCGCCAATGTCTTTTTCTTGCTACGTTCCGCTGTTCTCGAGTACATGCCAAGGGAATTGCCCTTGCGAGAGATCGACTTGCCATCTGCTCGATTTCCCCTGGCGATGGTTGCATACGATGCTCGTGGTGATGTCTGCAGCAAGGGTGCAGTCGCTGTGGCTACAGGCACCGTGGTCTGAAGTAGACGAGGGGCGAGAAATGGAGCTGACGGACATATCAGCGAGGCCAGCGGCGTTCGCGATAGTTTGTGCATGTCCAGGTGATTGTGTCTTTGTTTCAACAGCGCCGCCACTATCCTGCACTGTCGATACTGTATCCTGCGCACGAGACGATGTCGATGTTTTTTTCATACGGCCTGTGCCAAGACTACACGCTAGCGGCACCCCCGTGATTGGCCACAACTCCGCCATGAAACGAACACCTATGGTATCGAATCCTCGGAAACGCCCACAGAGAGCAGCATACACATACACATACACATCGACACCCTCCCGCCCTCCCGCACCTTGCTCACCATGTCCCGCCCTCTGTCTCTCTTCAGTGTCCAGGCGATCCTGGTCCTTGCCATTGACGATGGCTCCCGCATCCTCACCAAATACTACTCCAACCCGCACCCGCCCGCAGGCCAACAAAATGACTACCCTGGCCAGATTGCCTACAAGACGGTCAAGGACCAGAAAGCCTTCGAGAAGGGCCTGTTGGGTGTGTAGAATTGTCTGATTGGCATCCTCCTCCGCGGCTGACAAAATGGTTCAGAGAAAACAGCCAAGCAGACTTCGGATATAATACTGTACGATGGGAAAGTCATTGTTTTTAAGATGGAATCGGATGTAATGCTCTACGTCGTCGGAAGCGCAGACGAGAACGAAGTGTTGTTGTACAGGTATGCGGCGTGGCCCAGCCCACTCTAAGACGTCAGCTAACAGGAGTACCAGTGTCGTCCTTGCCCTTAGAGACTCGCTCAACATCCTCTTGAAGTAAGCACGTGTACATGTTCGCCGAGTATTTTTCTCTAACGACCGCTAGGAATTCGGTTGACAAGCGGACTGTCATTGAAAATTACGATCTGGTGGTATGTTATCATAATGGGGAATATACGTGACGCTAACACGCGTACAGTCGCTCGCTGTCGACGAGCTCGTAGATGATGGAATCATCCTGGAGACCGACCCCGTAATCGTTGCGTCGCGCGTTAGCAAGCCGCCGGCGCAAGACATGACCTCGATGAAGAACATTGATCTGTCGGAGCAAGGCTTCCTCAATGCTTGGGAATTTGGAAAGCGACAGCTGGCTGAGAGGATACGGCAGGGCCTATAAGCGTGATTGACAAGCAGGCATGGCGTTGATGGAGTTCGGGCAGGCATTCAAGCGCCACAGTGGGCATCATTCTTTGCTTTAGGGTATATCTAGGAGGACCGAGGTCCCGAAACAGTGTACAACGATACTCTGACCTGTTGACTACTCTCAACGTTAGAATCCATGTGATTGCGCCTGTGATGCATGGTTGAGTGTGATTGTCGTTACTAAGCACCCAGGAACCATTTTCATGGACCCTTGCAGAAGACGTGCGCTACTACTCCTAGTTACCACCTCGACATTCGTCATACTCATAGCCGGAGCATCCCCCACTGCGACCCCGCCACCACAGTCTCCGCACCAGGCCACAACACGATGAAGCAGAGGTTCTCCAGCCTAGACGTCAAAGTCTGCAATTCCCAATATGCTTTGAAGATGTCAAACTAAATTGGACAGGTCATTGCCCACGAGCTCTCTGCGAAACTCACTTCGCTGAGAGTGACAAATGTCTACGACCTCTCTTCCGTACGGAGCAATTTGTGAAACGTGTGATTCGCCCACTGACAAGTGCAAAGCGCATCTTCCTGATTAAATTCCACAAGCCCGACCACCGCGAACAGCTTCTCATCGACTCAGGGTTTCGCTGCCATCTTACCGAATATGCGCGCACCACTGCTGCCGCTCCGTCTGCCTTCGTCGCCAAACTGCGCAAATATCTCAAGACGCGGAGAGTGACATCAGTTGCTCAGATCGGTACAGACCGTATCCTGGAGTTCCAGTTTTCCGATGGACTATACAGGCTCTACCTGGAATTTTACGCCGGGGGCAACATCGTACTGACCGACGCCAACCTCCACATCCTGTCTCTTCTGCGGAATGTGGATGAGGGCGCAGAACACGAAAAGCTTAGAGTGGGTCTGCAATACAATCTCTCACTAAGGCAGAACTATGGAGGTGCACCAGAACTCACCAGCGAACGAGTTCGCCAGGGTCTTCAGAAGGCGGTGGACAGGCAGCAGGAGCAACCTGCAGCTACTGGTAAAAAGTCGAAGAAGTCCGGCAAGGACGCGCTACGAAAAGCACTGGCAACTTCGATAACTGAATGCCCCCCGCTACTTGTGGACCATGCTCTGCACAACGCAGACTTCGACTCTTGCTTGAAGCCCGAACAAGTCCTCGCGGATGAGTCGCTTCTCGAGAAGCTAGTAGTCGTTCTCAAGGACGCGCGGAAAATCGCAGAAGAGATCACCCAGCCCGAGCAGATCAAGGGCTACATTCTAGCAAAACCCAATCCGGCAGTAGCGAGCACAGAAGACGCATCATCCGGAAAGGCTAAATTTCTCTATGAAGACTTTCATCCCTTCAAATCACAACAGTTTGAAAATCTAGATTACCAATTTCTAGAATTTGATGGGTTCAACAAGGCTGTTGATGAGTTCTTCTCTTCAATCGAAGGCCAGAAGCTGGAGTCGAAGCTCACTGAGCGGGAGCAACAAGCCAAGAAGAAGCTGGAAAAGGCGCGCAAGGAGCATGAGGAACGAATTGGAGGACTGCAGCAAGTCCAAGAGATGAACTTTCGCAAGGCTGAAGCAATCTTGGCCAATGTTCATCGTGTCACCGAAGCCACAGAAGCTGTCAATGGGCTGATCAGGCAAGGGATGGACTGGGTCGACATTTCACGACTGATTGAACGAGAGCAGGCCCAGGGAAATGCTGTCGCACAATCCATTCGCCTTCCTCTCAAGCTTCACCAGAACACCATCACGCTACTACTTAACGAGACTGATTGGGATCACGAGGAAGAGGAAGAAGACGAAGGCAATGAGACAAGTTCGGTCAGCGAAGACAGCGAGGAGGAGGAAGAAGGTTCAAAGAAGAAGGCTGCGCCCACTAAGGTGACGCAGCAGCCACAATTGGCAATCGATATCGACCTCGGTTTATCTGCATGGGCAAATTCTACAGAGTACTACGACCAGAAAAAGACGGCCGCTAGTAAAGAAGACCGTACTGCTGCAGCATCGAGCAAAGCATTGAAGAGCCACGAGAAAAAGGTCACAGAGGACTTGAAGAAGGGATTGAAACAGGAGAAGGAAGTGCTTCGTCCCGTGAGAAAGCAGCAATGGTTTGAGAAATACATCTACTTTATCTCGTCAGACGGTTACCTCGTGCTTGGCGGAAAAGATGCGCAGCAAAACGAGATCATCTATAAGCGCTTTCTGAGGAAAGGAGACGTGTACGTACACGCGGATCTCAAAGGAGCAGTTCCGATGATCATCAAGAACAAACCAGATACACCGGACGCCCCGATTCCACCTTCAACACTATCCCAAGCGGGCCATCTATCTGTTTGTACCTCAGAGGCGTGGGAATCAAAGGCTGTTATGTCTGCGTGGTGGGTTCGTAGTACTCAGGTTAGCAAGACTGGCCAGACAGGTGAATTTCTTCCAGCTGGTATGTTCAACATCACTGGCAAGAAGGAGTTTTTACCGCCGGCTCAGCTCGTGGTTGGCCTTGCAGTCATGTTTGAAATCAGCGAATCGAGCATATCGAACCATCAAAAGCATCGCATTCAAGCAACAGCCGTTTCCGCGGCAGAAATGACGGAGGATTCCACAAATGCCGAGGAAGAAAGGAACGAAGCCGATAGTGAACATGACGATGAATTTCCAGACGCCAAACTGGATTCAGGTTCCGACGACGATGAATTCCCGGATGCAAAAATCGATGATGCTGAGGACAGTGACGCAGAATCTGAGGCTGGTGCGTTGCGAACGAACCCCCTTCAGTCACACAAGATGGTGGACAAACACGACTCGGAGACAGAAGACGACACATCCCCCAATAACAAGCCCGCAGGCACTGAATCCCACGATATTCGTGAGGCGCCAGCTAAAGAAAGCACTGTTGATGACGGCGCAGAATCGGTTGGAAAGACTGACCCGACATCTCGACGCCATCTCTCAGCACGAGAGCGACGACTGTTGAGAAAGGGTCAGCAGCTGGATGGTGCGGATATCGCAACGGGTCCCGGTTCAGCGGATGAATCTGTCCATGGCGACCCATCAGCGTTCACGAAACCACCCGCTACTGTGACATCCCAAAGCAGCAAAGCATCAGCACTACCTCGCGGTAAGCGTGGAAAAGCTAAGAAGCTCGCTACCAAGTACGCCGCGCAAGACGAGGAAGATCGCGCGTTGGCTATGCGTCTACTGGGCTCTCAATCCGGCCAACAGGCCGCCGAAGCCGCAGCGCAAGAGAAACGTAAAAAAGAAGAACAAGCTCAAGCGGACAAGCAACGTCGTCGTGACCAGCACTTCCGCGCTCAAGCAACTGGTAAAGCTGCCGAAGAAGCCCGTCGCGTTGCCCTCGAAAACGCCCAAGAGGAAGATGATGAGGGCGATGAAGTCCTACGGACCAATCTCACGAAACTCAACGCTTTCACCGGCCGTCCCCTACCTGGTGATGAACTCCTCTCAGCCATCCCAGTATGCGCACCCTGGTCTGCACTCAGTACTTACAAGTACAAAGCCAAGATCCAGCCCGGTTCGACAAAGCGCGGCAAAGCTGTCAAAGAGATCCTCACCATCTGGGACCATGCTGGTAAAGACGCAAAGGTAATAGACAAGCTCAGCCAAGACGTCGAGCGTATCTGGCCAAAGGAAATTGAGCTCATTCGGGGATGGAAGGATATCGAGGTCGTGGGTATCATGCCAGTGAGTAAAGTTAGGGTTATGATTGCGGGCGGACGGCGAGGAGTAGAGATTGCCAAGGGGAAGGGAAAGAAGAGTGCGAGAGGGGGGAGAGGAAGTAAAAAGAAGTAAAGCATAGTTGTAGAGAAATAAGACCGGAAAGTCTTTCCTGAAAAGTTTGCCAGTCGCCTAGCAGTCAATGACGGTAGCGTGTTTAATCTTATAGTCGCCTCTGTGTTATATGTTCTTCTTTCGTTTTTGATTTCTCCACCTCGAATTCACAATCATCTCAACTCCTTGAAAACTAACTTTCGCAACGTCTTCTGTACCTCCCAACTTCTGTCACAACATTTTATTTTGTCCTAGAAAGATTTTTCCACAAATTATACATTTGGTTGGCTGTCGGGTTTATAACATGTCAGGGATCATTATGATATGTTTGCACCATGCACTATCTCACCCATATCTTCCTTTGATCGTGCACGTCTTTCTCTTTCTACGTACACAACTAACAACCATAAACGCTGCACATGGTACATGTCTTGGTTCGAAAATACCAATTAGACTGTAAACTCTCCGTTTTCTGAATGTAGTCAAGAATCTCCCCGATGCACAAAAGATACGCTACAGTACATAAACATATCCGCGCCTACTCTAAAACTCCAATCTCACGACACCTCGACTCCACCACCTACCCCACCCCCTTCACAAAACCAGCATCCAGCCATCCCCAGCCATCTAGAACCTGACAGCCAGGCCGTCCCCAGCCACCCAAAATAGTCAGCTTCCAGTACTGCCATACGATTTCAGTAACCGATGCAACCCGCTTCGATTCGGTCACTAAGCCCATTCGGACCCCCGACCTCCATCCCGCCCCCATTTTACCCGCTCAATTCACGCGACGCCCATGTACATGCGGGGTACATGCGGGATGGGAACGAGCCGTAGTATCGGTAGCCAGCCCTCTTCTCCCTTCCCCCTTTTTTATGATACGATGCAAGAGGGAAAGAAAAGAGAGAAAAGGGGATGAAGGGGATTGCGGTGTATGGATTGATAATAGGGAAAAGGTGTAGGGATTGCGTGAAGAGTTTTAGTGTGGGATTCCGCTTGGTGCTGAGAGTTGTCCGAATGGGGATATTACTTTGCTCTTCATTTTTGCTTTTAGTTTCTGTTTTGGTTATTCGCGAAGGGAAGTCAGGTGTGTTGTTGCCGTAGTGGATGCCGTTGCTCAATGCCGTACTAGATGCCGCGTGAGTTATGGGTAGTACTGCGGTGCTTCTCCATTGTAGCAGACGATATAGCTCGTATTATCCCAGCCACGAGTCCCATCACCTTGGTTCGCTATGCCCTAGTCAGACAATCACCCTACAATGGCACATATGTACATAGACCTGAGCAAACCGATCAATGCCAGATCAGGTCATGCACGGCTGTGCAGATCCTAGATAATGCACACATATACTCATTGCTTTTTTTTTGGTGATGAGTTGGTTACTCCACGCTTTGGGAGATGGTGCGGGATGGCTTACGTGGGTTCTGCGTCTGGTGCACAGGGGGTGGGAGATAGTTTTCGTGGGGGAATTTTTTGGTTTTAGGAAGGGATTGCCGGTAATGACAGTAGTGTTTATGGCGAGTTGGAGTATGTATGTGGGACTTGAAGAGTGTGTCAAGTCGATAACGTAGAATACATGTAACAAGACAAAGACGCGGCTAAAACGAATATCGTACTTAATTCTTACCATGTTCGAGGAGACCATTCACGTAGCATTTTCCTGTCAAGGCAAGGACATAACAGCACATTCCTAGTCCATGGGAGGATACAATGGCACCCAGGCGAGCATAGCAAGTTCACCTGCTCCAACGAAATCTCTCATTGTACTATAATAATATAGGGTATCAGTTAAAACGTCAAAGGATCGTACATTTCGGTCTATGTTTCTTCCTCTCCCTGTCCCTATCTCTCGGCCGTCCCGGTCTGGCCCCCCGCGACGGTCTTGGCGAATCGGGAGGCGCATTCCGCCTTTCGTCCTGATCTTTGCGCATAATCTGCCTGCACAAATCGACAAAGGCTTCGTCGACGTTTGCTCTTCGCCGCGCACTCGTCTCAAAGTATGGGATGTTCCACTCGCGGGATACTGCAAAGGCGCGGGGCCGGGAAATGGCGCGGTCATCTTCTAGGTCGGATTTGTTGCCGATGAGGACCATGGGAACGTTATCGTCTTCTTTTATGCGGCTGATTTGTTCGCGGAGCTCGGCAAGCTCGTAGAAGGAGGATTGTGAAGTTATGCTAAAGACCAAGAGGAAGCCTTGGCCGGTTTTCATGTAGAGTTCTCTGTTGTTTGTAAGTAATAGGATCATCATGTTTTGGTGAGTTGGGGATTATGGACCTCATGGCAGCTATATTGATGTTAGCGTTGTGTACTATGCGTATTCCAGGAGAACACTATCACTTACTAAATTGTTCTGTTCCCGCCGTATCGAGAATCTCCAAGATAACGTGACGACCCTAAGTGGGTCAGCAAGCCTCAAGGTTGGCTGAACCTGTCAGCAAACTTACGTCGACATCGAGTACTTTTCTGTATGAGTCTTCAATGGTCGGGTCGTAGCTCTCTATCCAGACATTTTGTACAAATTGCGCTACGCAAAAGTCAGTGATTCAACAGCTTCGACATGTTGGGGCTTGGGTGACATACCAGTTAAGCAACTTTTCCCGACTCCACCTGTCGCGCCGTCCTGATTAGCTGTGCCATGGAATGCAAATCACGTTTCTCAGACTTACCAGACCCCAAGACAACTATATGATACTCTCTTTGCGACATGCCTCACCTGGGTTGAAATGTTCGCGGGAGGTAGGATGTAATCTATGCGAAAGATGCTCCTTGCCTCCCGTGGCGGTGTGGGCCACAGAAGTATGAGCGGCTCAAATGCCCGGTCGCGTGTCTGATCACGAAAGTGGTCCTGCCGAAGAATCGATAGAGGCACAAATTTATTATTGACTTGTGAAGAGGTCCGAGTTGGACCTATAGCCGCGGTTCAAGAGCGAATGGTGCGAGTGGTACCGTGTTCTCAGCCAACCATGCAGCTACGGCAACAAGTCAGCCGTCCGTACTTAGATCAGGCGACATCCAATCAAGAGCATAGGAGGTCAAGTATTCCAGTCAACAGGGCATTGTGGCAATGTAATGTCGTGGTACTCAAGTAGTCCAGCCGCACATGTTTACTGTGTACGTACCTAAGGGGTGCGGCGAGGTTGGGCGTCTGTCGGGAGAAATTTTCCAGGGGTTATCGATAAGGCGAGGACGAGCAATTGGGAACTTGACACACGACACGAGACTTCGAGGGGCAGTGTGATATGTACACCGTAGCCAGCAGGACACCTTGTGCATGCGGAGCGTGGGCGGCACGGCGATTAATACTTGTCTCCAACCCTGGACTTGGCAGGGCTCAGCAGAATGGGTGTAGCGACAAGCTTGCGGTGCGATGAGCTGTTCGCTAGGACATTGAACCTACTTCCATCCGTCTGCCTCCGGGGGTAACACACTCCGTGTCCGCGCGCACAAACACTGCTCCGAATGCACTGCCGCTGGGGGATCAGGGCCTCAAGGATACGGAAAGCGGTTGGCTGACAGTGAGGACGAGTCGAGCAACATCAGTGACCACGAGCGCGCCTGCAGGAGCCAAGTCGCGAAGCTGGCCATTCCGGCTCGCTGGGAACATCCCGGGCCCCCATTCCATGGTAAGCGAGTCGAACGGTCGACACGCTATCATCAAGCCTCAGATCTGGAGTCAGTGCGACTCAGTGCGACATGCACCTACAGGACCGCACCTCTGCCGCCTCTTGAGCATGAGCCTTTCTTGTGGAAGCAACGATAGCAATCCTCGATCTTTTCAGCCGCCGAAACCAGAGAGCCATCAGCGAGCCTGGACAGAAGACAGTGTTCTGCACCTCTGCGTCCATGAGCTTTTCACGGCCAACGGTGGGTGGTTCGCAAGGCTGCCACTTCTGAACATGTTTGCGTGGAGCATGCACTACCACGTACATACACAGTAGGTACTACTTACCTGTGGAGACGGCGGCCTCCATGCGGGCTTCGGCAGAATATCGACTTGACCCTTTTAGACCCGGATCTAGCGAAAAAGGACAAAAACAAGAGCCGCGTGCCGCGCTATGACGCCAGATTGACATGTCCACAGCCACATGGATCATGGATGTCGAGGTGGGCGGTCTGGGTGCGACTGCTAACACAGTAGGTAACGTACTCTATGGTAGAGTGGTGGCCACCAGGAGATATCGACAGGCTACAGGTAGCGATAGACACACTATCGTTTGCTGGACATAGATAGGGCTGTTTGGAGGAGCCTGTATGCACGCTGCCTGCCAGGACGCCTCGATGTTGCTTCTGTGCAGCGTTGTTCCAGGTAGATTTGTGAGGCTCGCCATGCATACCATACATAGCATATACTACTATATGGTATCATCTCTGTCAGCCAGGATATAATGCCGAGGCCATACATAGTATGCACTATGATATGCAGCTCGAGCCTCATCCGCGACGCGCGTGGACAGCTCAGTGGACACTGTACCAAGTAACCACTCGGGGGACTGGCGTAGGATGATGCGGGTATGCACCACGTCCGTGGCCGTTGTCGACGTAATAGTACCACACATGGTGCTGTCTAGCAACAATGCCCGTCGGTAGTCTCCCGCTTCCCCCAGGCTCAAAAAAATCTTGTGCACATAAGCAAGACAAGCAAGGAACACCTTATCTCAGCTTACATGTCGGGGACGTCCGACGCACATTCACTCCCATGGAAGATGGAAACTTGTTTGGTGATTGAATCTGCAAGGGCGACGCCATACTCATAGTGAGGCGTCGCAGAGGATGCTGGCGGCTGGTGCATTTTGCCACAATGGTACCTGCGTAGGTAGGTGGCAGTGTGCAATGTGCAATGTGCAGTGTGCAGTGTGACTGTAGTACACAGTACAGCGTTGAACCTGGCCTGGCCTGGAAAGTGAAAGACTGGCTGGTGTTCCAACTTCCACTATCGAAGGTAAGGTTGGCGGCTTTACGTCGGCCCATGGCTTGGCACTGAGCTCGTCGGAAGGCGGACAACACCAACACATGTAACATGTGCGAGCCGCGCGTTGACCAGAAAGCTACTGTGTAGCAACCAGCCCCTCCTTCTCCCTTTCCTCCTCTCTACAATGCTTTTGCAGGCTGCACTAGCCCTTGCAACATGTCTCGTCCCAGCAGCCGCAGTCTATCAGGATGAGGCCTACCACATCGACTTTCACTACGCTCTTCTAGGCTTGCCCGAACCCGAGGCTACCTTTTTCCAGAAGCCCTATGCCGGCTCCAAGGCATCCCTCTTATACTCGCTCTCGCAAAATCAGACGATCGGCGCCGTCAATCCCAAGGATGGTGCTTTAGTCTGGCGGCAGCACTTCTCGTTAGAGCCCCACAGCAAAGGCCACCTGCGCTCAGGGATTGAGCAGGATACAGTCATCAGTGCCGTGGGGGATCGCATCACAGCATGGAGCGCCTCGGATGGACGGCTGGTGTGGGAAACTGTCGTGGATGGGGCTGTGGTGGAAGACTTGGAGATCCTGGAGCAGGAAGATGGCATGACCATCAATGAAGCCAAGGACGCGATTGTCCTACTTTCAGATACAACACATGGCGTCAAGAGACTCGATGGAAAAACTGGCCGAGTGAAGTGGACATATGAGGATCCGAGGTTGGCTCAGGCTGCCACTCGATCAAAGTCACTGCTGACCATACTACAGCGGAGATACCCCATTCCAGATCTCGACTTCTCCAACGACCGTCTACTACATCTCCCTCCACTCGCCATTGCTTGGAGGCTCCAAGCTGAGGGTCACTTCTCTCAGTCCGACCACCGGCAAGAAACTTGACCAGTATACACTGAGCTCGGATACCGAAATTTCGACAAAAGACAACATTCTCTTTGCTGGAGCGAACACTGCGGCGCCCCTCATTGCATGGACTGATAAGGCGAATCAACTCCTCAAAGTGAACATCATTGGATCCAAGAGTATATCGAGCTTTGACACACCGGCCGATGAGGCAGTCGAGAAGATCCTCCTACATGCGCCCAACCACGTCAACTCTCTTGCCCACTTTCTGGTCGAGTACCAGACAGCGCACGGCCAATCCGCAGAAGTCTTTCATGTCGATCTCAAGAAGAATACCATCTATAAGGCTTATAGCCTTCCCAAGCTGAAGAGCAAGGGCACTTTCGCGACCAGCACCTCGGATGCGAATGTCTACTTCACAAGGATCACCGAGGACGAAATTGCTGTCTATGGATCAGTTTCTCATGCAGTACTGGGCCGATGGAACATCAGGAGCTCGCTTGCTCTAGCGGGAGCATACCCTGTCCACGGTCAATCCGAGGTCGTTGTGAAGGCAGGCACTGCAAGTGCGGTACGCTCCGCAGTCCTGTACTCCAATGGACAATGGGCACTTTTTCGCAATGGCGAGCTAGCCTGGACCAGGCCAGAGTTTCTATCCCGGACGGCATCAGCTGTATGGGCAGGTCTACCTGCAGGTGAGGCACTTGCCGAAGTATTGGCAGAGGAGAGTCATCGCAACGCCATTTCTGCCTATGTTCACCGTGTCCAGAGGCATATTCAGGACCTGAAGTACTTCCCAGCCTGGGTGCAGAGCATTCCCCCGCGTCTAGTGGGCAGTGTACTTGGAAAGAGCAAGGAGACTACCGTCGATGACATCCAACATGACACCTTCGGCTTCCACAAACTTGTTGTTGTCGCAACTGAAACGGGACGTCTTGCTGCGCTTGATGTGGGCTCGCGGGGCAAAATACTATGGAACGTCGACCTGACCCAGTTTTCACCCAATACAATCTTCCAGCACCCAATCCTGAAGGCTCACAGTGGCTATGTTGAAATAAAAGATCCTGGATTGGAGGGATCAATCTACGTTAACTCAACTACTGGTAGCCGGATCACTTCTCAGAGCATCAAAACTCGTACGACTCTGGTGTCCGAGGGACAGACTCTTGTTGCCTTTGAGCTCGCAGAGGGAACTTTAAGAGGTTTCCTGGAAAATCAACCCACTTCTGAGCCTGTCTGGAGTTTTGCGCCTGTCTTTGGAGAGCAAATCGTCAGCTATACCGCCCGACCCATGCAGGACCCAGTTGCCTCCATTGGCAGGGTACTGGGAGATAGAAAGGTACTTTACAAGTACTTAAACCCCAATCTAGTTTGGGTTACTGCCGTTGCAAAGCGCACTGCATCCATCTACCTACTCGATTCTGCATCTGGACAATTGCTCCACACCATGTCACATGACAATGTAGACACTTCCCGTCCCATCCCAGCTACGATATCAGAGAATTGGTTCGCCTATGCGTTGACCATCGATGGTACTTCTGGGGCTGCTTCCAGGGGCTATCAATTGGTCGTCTCGGATCTTTACGAATCTCCTCTCCCAGACGACAGAGGTCCACTTGGAGCTGCCAATAACGCCTCCCTTGTTCAGCCATCAGATGCTGCGGGTGACGCTGTGAAGCCTCATGTATTGTCACAAAGTTGCCAGGTCCCTGCAGAGATTTCTCGCATGGCTGTCACCAAAACAAGGCAGGGTATTACAAGCCGTGAGCTTCTTGTCGCACTTCCATCGATCAATTCAATCATTGGCATTCCGCGATCTTTCATCGACCCACGCCGGCCAGTCGGTCGTGATCCTAGTCCTCAAGAGCAAATGGAAGGTTTGATCCGGTACACGCCTCTAATCAGCTTCGACCCGAAGTGGCATCTCACTCACAGCTACGAAGTTGTCGGTGTAAAGGACATTATTGCCAGTGAGAGCGGGATTGAGAGTACGAGCTTAGTGTTCGCATATGGCCTGGATATTTTTGGAACCCGTGTCGCACCAAGTTTCGCATTCGATATCTTGGGCAAGGGCTTCAACAAGATCTCTATGATCATGACTGTTGTGGGACTCTTCATTGGAGTTCTGTTCGTGGCGCCACTTGTAAGTAACGAGAGCACGACAAGACATCATCAAGCTAACCACTTTGCAGGTCAGGAGAAAGCAGATCAACGCCATGTGGACGATGTGATGAGTTGTTGAATTAATGTAAGTTATCGATTGGATCCAAGTCTTCGTGTTGCGTAAATGCAAGTTGATTGGATGGAGAATCGTAGGTGGAAGATAAACATAAGGATGAAAAAGGAGTACACACACACCACGTAGATAAAAAACTTCACCCCTTGACCTAAAACCAAACACACCATTTTCCAGGCGTGCTAATTTGTAGCTCAACTCTGCATAGATCGCCTTTTGGCCAGGCCCCATGCCGTAGACATCGACGCGTGTATCATGTCCATGCAAGCTGCTCTAAAGTTTCGTCCCAGGCATGACAATGGAGACTCACTGCTGGAATGGATGATGCATTCTATGACGATGTTTACCGGCACCAATGACAAGTCTCTTAGCTCCACCATCTTATACCCGAATCAAATACTGTAGGTACAGTTAGTTCCGTAAACTCCAGCACACAAGCATCATTGCACGCAAACTCAGACTCGGGAATACTGTCGAATCCGCAGCAACTGATGCTGCCCGCGATTGTAAACTGTTAGATGGTAATATCTCCATGGCGTGATGTTGATGCATATTGCGCCATCTCGTGACACTCTCAGCGGTTAGTCACGATTATTGAGCTGAATACCCGGCTTGCTTACAACCCACTGCACCTTCGGAGCAGCTGCATATGCAATATCTAGGTAGTGAGGATGAAGCTATTTAGTAGCGTTGACATCACTTCTCCCTCCATTTGAACATGTACTAAATCCACTTCCCACCCAACTACCCACTCAACCTCGGCACAGAAACAGAACAAAGGACACAGACAAATAAACAAAAAATGTCTTCTCATCCAAAATACAGCTCCAAACTCCAAAATGCCCGCATCCTCATCATCGGCGGATCCTCCGGCCTGGGCTTCTGCGTCGCAGAAGCATGTCTCGAATTCGGCGCCATTGTCACTATTTCCTCGTCCAACGAAGAGCGCGTGGCGGCTGCTGTGCAGCGGCTGGTGAGTGGGTGTTCGAGCACCGAGGCTAGGGTGTTTGGCGTGCGTGTTGATTTGGGGGATGCGGAGACGGTGGAGGAGGAGGTGAGGGGCCTGTTGGAGACGACAAGGGAGAGGAATGGAGGGGAGATGTTGGATCATGTTGTTTTTACGGCGGGGGATAAATTGGTGATTGGGGGGTTGGGAGATCTGGTATGGTCGTGCCTTTTCTTTTGTCTGTGGTTTTGCTACATGTATACCTACTCTAGCAAAGTGGTCAAAGGGTCCAGTCTGCTTGTTACCCCTGACACAAGCAGAACAACCAAAGAAAAAGGAAACCACTGACATCCTAGGTCTAGACAATGTCCAAAATCCTAGCCGCGGGCCAAATCCGCTTTTTCGCACCACTGATCCTGGCGAAGTACCTGCCCTCGTACTTGAACTCGTCTTACAAGTCTTCCTACACCATTACCACGGGCGTGGTCGCTGAGAGGCCCATTCCGGATTGGAGTGTGATTGCCTCGTATGCTGGTGGTCACCATAGCATGGTGCGTAATCTGGCGCTCGACATGAAACCCATCAGAGTCAACGGGGTGAGTCCCGGGGCCGTGCGGACAGAGCTCTGGGGCGATGATGGAGAAGAGATGATGCGAGCGTTGGAGGAGAAGATGACGACGGGGAGAGTCGGGGAGGCAGAGGATGTTGCGGAGAGTTTTTTGGCGTGTTTGCGGGATGCGAATATGAGTGGGGCAGTGGTGAGGACGGATGGGGGACAGTCGTTGACGTAGTACGTGTGGAGATGATTGCTTGTGAAATATAGTGCGTTGATGGTTACACGAATGTTGTGCGTCGAAGCGTCACAGTGCGAAGGAGATGTAGTTGACATGCCTAGTAGAAATCGCTATGCTAATTGAAATCACTGAACATGATAGCCGTGAACTGTTTTACAAGGAAATGGCCGTCTAGAGTAGCAGGATGGTATTCGAACACTTTTACTTGCGGCGGCGGAATGCAGCAAAGGGAGGGAACCAGTAAGCTGGGTGAAACAGTGTGAGGGCAACACAGGCAATTGCAAGCATCCTGTACAAGTCAGCAAAGCACGCAACTCAAAAAAGTTGGGTTACACTCACATTCCGTCCAGAAGAAGGAACTCCTTCTCGTTTCGCATGAGTGCATTGCCCCAACCGCCAGCCATCTCAGGTAGACGATAGATACAACGAATGAGGATAGTGGTGTAGGCAAGGGTGATCATGGCACCGAAGAGCTTAATCTTTCCGAGTGATACACCACCCTGCTCTTTGTCGACCTGGTATGAGCTCTTCTCGTTCAGGGAGGCCTGGTTGGAGCGAGCCTTTCGGTATCTGAAGATGTATATGATGACCAGGATGCCGCAGACGGCCATGGTCAGAACCTGAAAGGCAATACCGGCGACGATAAGGTTGTTACCAGCATTGATCAATTTAACGTTCTTGGTGCCAGCCGCCGCAGCCATACCACCGCCTACTGCCTGCAGAACGATGGAGCCGAAGTCGCACCCGATGAAAATCCAGGGGTACAGGTTCGCCTTGAGCAGAGAGTGTTCCGGTCCACAGTACAACACAAAGTGTTTCAGGGTCAAATAGACGGCTGCAGCGACAAAACTTGGGCCCAGGACAAGACAGCAAATTTGTAGTTTGAAGCCGGATTCGTTCCATGGGTTGCCATTCATGATGACTCGGCCGACGTAGCCAGCTGTTTCGAGGAAGGTTCCTACACCAAGTGCTGCAGTGTACGTCCAAGTCTTAGTCATGATACCGATAACGACGCTCGAGATGAAGCAAACTCCGAAAAGGGCACAGAGGAAGGCGTTGGCGCCCATGTTAGGAGTGTATCCATAGAGCGTAGCATAGACGGGACATTCTGGTGAAACTTCCAGACATTTTCTAAAATCTCCTTGCGGTCTATCTTCAGCGGCTTGAACAACGACTGCTTGTACTGCAAGGGCGACGGTGGCCAACAAGGCTGTTCGGGTATAGGAGTGCATGGCGATTATTCCAGTATCCTGTGGTGATGGACAAAGTGGGAAATGTCAAAAAGAAAATATAGATCAGGAAGAGAGACGGCGGAAGCGTCTATGTCTAAAGCGACGAAACAGTGGCGCGATTCTTGCCACATAACGGTCTGCGGCTATGTCTTTGTACTCTACCTACCCACCTGTCCGTATACACCGTATTCATATGACTGCATCATTGAACGCCGACCCTAGAACATCGGTTCGAGGGCTTTCCGCTTCGCGAATCTCTAAGCGACATCATATGCCGTGCTGTGTGCAGTCTGATTGGTTTCGCTAGTGTCTCTGAGGCGCCCAGGCGTAAGCGATGCGACTCAGCCGCAGCCATTCTGTGAAATATTCACCGGTTCCCGATGCGAAGTAGTAAATAGAGATGCAGTACCATGCCCCCTCTGAGGGTCTTTGGAGCGAGTGATGTTGTACAGAGGAATATTGAGCCGATGTTGATAGACTCATGTAAGACTCACTAGTCCCGTTCCGGAATAGCGTAGTCTGAACGCACGGCCGTGTACTTGACGACTGCAATCTTCCTCCAATGCTTTTCGACCCCAAATTTTTGCTCACACACCACAGATGCTATACCGTTTCAGGTTCCCTTTGAAGCTGACAGGATCTTCAATTGATTGTATAAATATTGGTCGACACAGAGTACCATGCCAATCAAGTGCAGTGTGGACTTGATCTTGAGCTGGTCCTCATCAAAACATTCAGAGGGACATTGATTAGTCAAGATACCGATTCTAAATGCGAGGTGAGAATGGCGTTTACTGTTTACGGAACCATTATATGTAAAAATGCAGGCCGGCTACGTTTTATATCAAATCTAACATCACCAGATGCACTACCATTGACCACATCATTGCATTGCCCAACTCATCCCATACCCTCAGTCATGCTTCATGGCAAATGAGCCATCAAGAAAACAAAAAACACAATGCCCGCTCATCCATCACATGCAAAATGAAGGTCATGCCATCAACGCCTGAACCATAATCACACGTGATCAACAACCAAGAAAGAGTCCGGACCTTTTTCAATTAAGGTTAGTGGGCCGCGCCCAGTGGCTTCCGCCCGTGCACAAAGTAGAATCGTATGTACATGTGGACGGCGCGGTTGCGCACATCACCTACCACTTTTGCGATGAGGACGCGGCATTCGGCTTCGCTCCACCCTAGGACCTTGCCGATGAAACCCAAAGTGTAGGGCTCAATACCCATGGCCACGTGTTCGCGCTGGTAGCGCCCGATTTCCTTCATCTTGGGGTCTTTGGGCCAAGGACCGATTGGAATCTAAGAAAGTAACTTTTGTCAGCATGTGATGGCTGAGACCAGGCAAAAGGAAGCTGGGGGCACGTGACTGACCTTGACTACCTTTTCGTGTACGTCTACAAAGCCGGCTTCAATGATACGCTCCTTAAGCGTCGAGCCGGCTCGGATATCCTTTTTAAACTTGACAGCCGCTTCGTTACACAGATCTTGCCAATGGCACATGCTTTCTGCCTTTTCCAACGTGCCGTCGTCACTTTCGCACAACGCAATCGGCTCTTGAAACTCGACCCAGCCGCCAGGCTGCGTGTGTGTATAGCACTGCCGTATGAGCTTGTCCCAGTCTGTGATGCTGCCGCTCAGCGTTCGGATGTGGATGAAATCAAACGCCTCATCAGGACTGTATATCCATTCGGATTCGGCGTCATCGATGTAGAATTTGGCATTAGGGGGGACCCATGTCGGCTGAATGGGAGAGAGATCGGTGCCGAGGACTTCGCTGCCGGGATTCTCGTCGGCAAAGTCAATGGCCCATATGCCTGTGCCTGTGCCTATGTCCAGGACGCGCTTGGGAGGGGAGGGCATGGGTGCATCGTACAGTTTGCCGCCGAGGATGAGGAGGAAGATGTGGTGGAGCAGGTCGAGGCGGTCTTGCTCTTGCTCGTCGTTCGGCAAGACGTAGGCGCCGGAGCGAAAGCCATGGTAGCGGCGGCCGTTGGAGTATTCGTAGTGGAGAATCGAGGAAGCTAGTGAGGTTGAGGCGGACGAGTTGGCGTCGAAGGCACTGTCGTTGTCGCTGTTGTTGTTGGTGTCCGGTTCGAGATGCAGGACAGACTGCAGATTGCCATGGTCTGTTGCCTCGGGATCCACCGCCGACTCTGGATCGGGATTGTGGTCTGCTTCGCCTTGCGGTGCATCTTGCCGAGTCTCGCTCGGTTGGTGGGTTGTTGATGTTGTTGTGGGATGCGGCGGCGGCTGTGGGTCAGACGCCGTTGCCAGCGGGCCGATGGTGTTGGCGGGGACAGCCGACATAGGTGTGTGGACGAGGAACTACCCTATGCACCGGTGTACTGGCCTACCTACTTTGACACGAGGGCAAGGACAGAGCCAGTGGCCACTTGAGGCAACGGACGGCTGGCTTTGCTCGTTATCGGCTGTCGCAATCCGTCCTCTGCGCAAAGCAGCTCTGGTCGTGAGTACATATAGTTAGGGCGACGCTTCCCTTGGGATCGCGGGGTTTGGGGCCCTCTTTAACTTATAGCGTGCTGTCTCTGCCTCTTGGGGGGAAGGGAGAGGGGAGGGGAGGGGGGGGGGGGGCCCGAAGCGTGCCATGGCATTGCCCTCATCCAACTCGACGGGTCGGACTCGCAAACTCACCACGATTGCCCGCCTGTGTCTGTGTCTGTGTCTGTGTCTGTGTCTGTGTCTGTGCCTGTGCCTCGCTGACGCACTCTGCCTATGCGCGCTATATCGCTCGAACGGCTCCAAAGACGCTCAGGGGGCGTTGGCCAGCGCCAGTTCCCTGCCCCTTGCCATGTCGCGTCATGTACATGGCCTTGTTGTAATTTATCCTCGTCAGATGGAGTAGGAGTAGAAAACAGACACACACGTGACTCTGCCAGAAATGGCACCGACTAAGCCAAGCAGAGCGTGCCTACTACCGGTACCCGCGTGAAACAAGGGAAAAAGCGTACCTCGTTAGTAAGCAGGACATGGCCGTGACTTGGCATCGTCTTGACCTTTTGTCAAGAATTCACGGCTGTAGGCTATGCACGCTCAACGCACTATTTTTTATCATGGGTAAGTTCATGAGAACAGCCAACAGAATCAGCGGTTGTCATGAATTGTCGTTAGTTACTGGTAGAGTATACCGGTAGATACGGCAACGCCTAGGCGACATGCCTATCCCCATGCCTGTCCATTGTCTGCCTCATGCCTGGAGCAACGTGCCATCCATCCATCCATTCATCCATCGCCTCCCCAGGCCCACCAGCTCTGTCAAATCGTTTGCCGCCAAGCGACGGCCAATTCACCCAAGTTGAGACTTGCATCCAAATAGCCTAAGAACGAACGGTCTTGCCGCGCCCCGAACCCACATGCCGCCCGTCGCAAGCGTGCCATGGAACGCGTACTCTGCCTAGGACTGTACCGGTATACTCTACTCGTACGGTCAAGAGGGGCAGGTTCCTCGAACGGGCAAGCAACGAGTGCTGATGAATTCCCCTACCTAACTTTCTACTACTGTCCACTTTCACCCACGCCTGATTTCCTTTGGTGTTTGCATGTGCAGATAGGTAGCAGCGTAGCGCCCTCGAGGATAAAAGCGACCGAGGCCCCGGCACTCTCTTCAACATTACGTGAACACATGTTTCAGCTCTGTGACCACCGCACCCCCGCCCATTTGTCGCTTTAGGTCTCACCGACAGTGAGCGGACCCATGGATTCGGGAGACAACCTCACGGGCGCCCTGCCCTCGCCGCCCGTCCTACTCGCCCTCGCTGGCGCAGTGTATTGGTGCGCACTTTGTTTTTATCGACTGTACTTGCACCCCCTGGCCAAGTTCCCTGGTCCAAGGATAGCGGCGGCTACCAGTTGGTACGAAGCTTATTACGAGATCGTGCTCAAGGGCCAGTACTCGCGGCAAATCTCCAAGCTCCACGATCAATATGGTAGGTCGACAATCATCAAGTCCACGAACCTTTCTTTGTTTGCACAGGGAGGATTTCAATCGCATCGTCATCTTTATCGCATTGTATCCGAATGCAAACTAACTAGGTTGCAAAGGCCCTATCATCAGAGTCACACCCGATGAGCTGCATATTCGGGATCCCCGTTTCTTCGACCAGGTATATGGCAAGAATCAGCACCTCGACAAGCAGGGATGGGACAAGAGATTTGGCTGCGCAGGAGGCCTGCTCACCACGGTGAAAGCGGGAGACCACAAGCGCCGTCGTGCAGCTGTTGCCCCAATGTAAGTTATACAAGCCAGCCTCGAGCATCCTGAACCATGCAAATGTTTGCTGGCTGCCGCAAGTCAAGGTCCAAACATCTTACATATCCGTTGGCTCTATCATGGGATTTCTAACCATGTCAGGTTTTCTCGTCGGTCGATACTTGACTTCATCCACATCATCTACCGTCACATCGACACCCTCTCCATTCGCATGCAAGAATTCGAAGCCCGCAAGGAACCACTCAATCTCTCTCATGCCTTCCCCGCTCTTACGGGCGATATCATCATGGACTACTTCTTCGGCTTCAACTACAACCAACTCAAGCACCCAGAATTCGAATCCTTTCACGACGCCTTCCTCAAGATTGCCGGGACTGGACACGTGGCTACGCAGTTTCCCTGGATCCTCCCTGTACGTACTACCCAAGATTACCTCAATTCCAATCCCACAGCCACAAAAACAGAGATGAAGTGTAATGATGAGCTAACAAGCGATCAATCTTGCCTACAGTTGATGAACAGCATCCCCGACAGTATCACCGGGTGGTTGCAGCCTGCAGCAAAGTCATTACTCAAATTTAAGCGAGTAAGTGGGATAGCCATTGTCTAAAGCACAGCATTGTTCCGATTAGCACTAGTATCGCGAAGCCACGCCACGTTCCCCCCTTGTTCCGTTATGCCAGTGCTTTACACCTACCCGAATCTTTCCCGCTGCATCAAATTTACTCCTTTTGCATAAAGAATCCAGGCGGTACACACCATCGGCAGAGTAATGGGCTAACCAACGTCTACAGGATCAATGGGATCTCATCGGCCGCACCCTCCGGGGAGAGACCATCAAGTCCAACGATGCCAAACGTACCATCTTCCAAGAAATTCTCTCTTCCTCCCTTCCTGCCCAGGACAAGACACATCAAAGACTTGCTGATGAGGCTCAAATCATCATTGGTGGTGGTGTCGAGACGACTGCTTTTTCCCTAGCCATCGCCTCGTTCCACATCATCAACACACCACGTATCTATGAGCGCCTGCACAGGGAGTTGGTGGAGAAGTTTCCGAATCGTGCGCAGTTGGACTTGTTTACTTTGGAAAGTATGCCATATCTCCGAGGGATTATCATGGAGGCGGTACGAATGGGTTATGGGTTGAGTGCTAGGAATCCAAGGACGCATGCGGAGCCAATTCAATATGGGGAGTGGATTATTCCGGCAAGGACGTGTATTGTAAGCATTCTTATAAGATTCCCTGGATTTTAGGAGGAGAAGAGCTAATGGAAGACAGAGTATGACTATCCCTGAAGTCTCTCACGACGAACAGCTCTTTCCGAATTCCCGCGAGTTTATCCCAGAGCGCTGGCTCGACTCCCCCAAGACATCTGATGGCATTCCACTAGATCGATTCATGGTGTCATTCGGCCGAGGAACGAGGAGTTGCATGGGTATCAAGTACGTTGTCCTGACCCTTGCTTTGTCACTGTGCTTTCCGATTCACGCCTTTGGAGCACGATCCCAGTCCTATTTCAAGTTATCGCCAGCCCTAAACACCCCTCTCACAGTCCTTCGTCTATAATACCACGGTCTATGTACTAACGCACAACAGTCTCGCATACACAGAAATGTACCTCACCCTGGGCATGATGTTCCGCCGCTACGCCTTTGAAATTCACGAAGCAGATGTCACCGACGTTGAGATTGGGCACGACTTCTTCATCCCTGTTACTAAGCTAGACAGTAAGGGTGTGAGGGTATTTATTTCGTCTACGAGGGACTAGGGTCTCTTGATGCATCGAGTCGTAGTGTGTAATAGGGAGTGGGTGATGGCGGATAAAGATGAATAGGCATAGAGGAGAAAGTTGGTGGTGGTGGCCATGCGAGGAGAGAAGTTTTGGAGCGTACGAAGCCCGCTAGTAAGCAAAGTATCTCAAATTATTCTGAGAATGAAGTTTGTATAGTTCTTCATATGGCCCAAACTCCGCGAATGATACAGGGTACAGGAACCAAATTACGTTTCTTTTGTTGAACACGTTTCCGTCTATCGTCATATTTTCATCTCCCAGCTCAATTACCCGGTCTCCAATTTCCCCACTCTTATACTTTTGGATACGTCATAAATGAATCCTTTCTCCTCAAAACGCCAAACCTCGCATGAGTATCCACATCGCCGTCCCCATCTGCATACCCCTTTTTGTTTCTTCCTCGATTTCGAGGACCTACACCTGTACTCGTACACCCTCTCCTTCCCCAATATTATTTTTCCCATCACCGACACTCACATCCGCAATCTCATACCCCGCATTCCCTCCCTCTTCACCCAAGCCCTCCCACACACAAGCCCGACCCCGTGGTCTTGAA